GATTTCTCGTGATAAAAGCAAAACAGGACCAGAGTAACTGTTGTTTTCCGTTTAATTTATTGTGTGAACGATTTTTTGACCAATTTCATGAGAAGATTTAAGTCATCGGACATATTACATGGGAAACAAAAACTCCATGTTTAGGCGCCCACTCGGGCTCCTTGAACAAAACTTTAGTCGCCCGCACTCGTAAGTTAGGCGCCTCAGGCGACTGGGCGCCCGTTAGGCAGCAGCCTTGGAAAATATACAATAATAGGGTTTTTGACATCCATGATAATGATGATGATAATAGTGACTACACTGACAATACTATTATGATGACGGTAGTGGTATCAATTGCCACAATTGAAAAAAAAATTGCCGCAACTGACAGTTACTACATGTAGTGACAAATAATACCTGATCAAATAGCTCTTGAACTCTGGAGCCTAACAAACAGACAAAATGCCACCAAGCAGAAAGTCTTGCTGCTTCAACTGACTCATTCCTCTCTTTGACTGCAAGGTTCTGAAATGACACACAAATGTCATAATATTGAATTCAATTTTGTGCTTCAACTCTCAGGATACCTAGAGTCTGCAAATAAATGTGAAAATAGAAATTATGTAACATACCCTTAATGGAGTCATAATGAGTTTGACCCTCCTCGGACTGCAAAGGACATCTAANTAGGCGCCCACTCGGGCTCCTTGAACAAAACTTTAGTCGCCCGCACTCGTAAGTTAGGCGCCTCAGGCGACCGGGCGCCCGTTAGGCAGCAGCCTTGCTTGATGTGCTTTACCTGCTTGATGTACTTTACTTGCTTGATTTACTGTACTTGCTTGATGTACTTTACTTGCTTGATTTACTGTACTTGCTTGATGTACTTCACTTGCTCGATGTACTTTACTTGCTTGATGTACTTAACTTGCTTGATGTACTGTACTTGCTTGATGTACTTTACTTGCTTGCTGTACTTTACTTGCTTGATTTACTGTACTTGCTTGATGTACTTTACTTGCTTGATGTACTTTACTTGCTTGATGTGCTTTACCTGCTTGCTGTACTTTACTTGCTTGATTTACTGTACTTGCTTGATGTACTTTACTTGCTTGATTTACTCTACTTGCTTGATGTACTTTACTTGCTTGATTTACTGTACTTGCTTGATGTACTTTACTTGCTTGATGTGCTTTACCTGCTTGATGTACTTTACTTGCTTGATGTACCTCTACGCAAACATACTCACAGGAAGAGGGTATTACCACAGTATGCGAAGCATACGAAGAGTTTTATCACGAGAATCCTCCAATTCCTAGCAGGTATTTAAGAGAAATCCTTAGTCTGATTCTACAAGGAATTTTGTTCCAATTCAATGGAAAAGATTACCTCCAAACTCATGGAACAGCCATGGGAATGAAAATGTCTGTAGCTTTTGCTAACACATTTATGGCCAAAATAGAAATAGAAATACTCAGACAAAGTAACACGAAACCCATCTTTTGGAAAGATTCATCAATGACATCATGTTCACGGCTGAAATCTCAGAAACAGAAACTATGTTCTTGGACACGAAAGTGTACCAAGGTGACAGATTCAATAAAGAATCGATCTATTCTTGACGTGGGAACACATTTCAAACCTACAGAGACCTTTCAATACATGAATTTCTATTCATGTCATCCACCAGGTGTCACAAAAGGCTTTATCAAAGGAGAAGCATTGAGGGTTCTGAGATCGAATTCCTCCCAATTTACTTCTGAGGAAAACACGAGTAATTTCAAAACGCGCCGGCAGAATAGACATTACCCAGCTAGAATTGTAGAGAAACACCTTTCAGAGATTAAATTCTCCGACAGAAAAATGTCGCTGGCACAGAAAAACAATGCCGCACAAAAGAAAATACTGCCCTTTGTAACGCAATACCACCCGGCACTGCCTAACCTAAAGGACACACTCATGGGGAAATGGCACCTTATAGATAATCAACCACAACTGAGAGAAATCTTTAAGGAACCCCCCATCATTTCATATTGTGAGGGAAAATCCCTTCTTTTGCATCCTAGTTAAAGTTAACGTGGCTCCATAGGGTAATCATTTATGGCATTGCACATGCTCGTGCTATGTTTTGAGTGCCGTTTTTCCATTCGTTTTTACACCCAGTCCTTTCAAACTTATTACATGTCATAAGCAATGATTAAATAGTATTTTACTATCATCTCTGTTAAAATTATGGGTTTTTTGAATTATAAATGCCTAAGCAAATGTGTTTTTTGCTTTTTTATGGCTTTATTTGTGATTTTCTTGAAATTTCTTCGGTGAAATCTTCCAAAATTTTCACAGCATATCACATCCTGCGGGATACGAATTTTAAACATGAAAAAAGTAAGGTTTATTAAGGCAGGTTTTTTGATTTTTGCAAATTTATGTCTTTTATGCCTGCCAGAAAACTGGTCTTATAGATTTCCTTCAAAAACAAGCTCCGACTAAAGTAAGATATGTACTACCAGTCTGCCAAATTTTACGAAATTTCAGCGAAGGAAACTCGAAAAAATTCACTGTCAGTTTTGCTTTTTGTGCTCATGTTGACGTCATAAAATATCGAAAGATACTGACGTTTTCCTTCAAGCGCGTGCAGATTACTTGAACTTTCGTCCTCAGCGTGCGTGCAATTGTAAACTATAGGGAGCCACCTTAAGCTATGAGGGCTTTAGAACTTATTCATCTGCGAACGGCAGGAGTTGTGCAGGCTTGTCAACACTTTTATCACTAAGCAAGTAAAGTATACCAAGGAAGTAAAGTACATCAAGCATGTAAAGTACACCAAGCAAGTAATCTACACTAAGCAAGTAAAGTATACCAAGTAAGCAAAGCACCTCAAGTAATGAAAGCTAAGTCAGTAAAGGACACTACATGTTCGCTTGACATGAAGTATATAGTTAGACTACTTGGATGCATATATGGCATTGTCACATGAAGTATATACCCAGGTGACATCCCAAGAGCCACCTGTTTTTTTATATGTCATATGATATGACCGAGGACAGCAGTTATTTTTCAGGTACCATCCTGTTTTAGTACAAAAAACACTACTGTGAGTGGTGTATCTTTTAGAATTGCCCCTAGCTCAGTTCAACAAATATCATCTGCTGCTATCAAACTACAGAAGTGTGTTTGCCAGGGTTTAAATTAAGAATGGAAACCTTTTGCTTTTTCTTAGGGGCTTATTTATTTCCCTTTCAATTGTCTCCATGAAAGGCATCAAAAAGTTCATATCCAGCCAAACTTTCTCAATTTAGTGGCATTAACACTTGTCAAATTGTAAATCTGTGACAAAAGAAACCAGGAAGGTGTTCAAATGTTGCTGCAGACTCCTTGGCACATAATGAAAATGCAAGTTACTGGTAATTTGATCAGTCTTTGAGGGGACTTGTTCATGGATGTATGATATAATTAAAATCTCTGTCAACTGAGTAGCAGTGGCCTTCAGTACTTCTTCTTGAAACGCCAACGCTTCTCAGGTGTATTTAGGTGGCTAACTACAGTTTTTCTGAGACTTAGTAGCGTGCGCTATGATTGCCTGCCAGACGTCGGTATTAATTGCGTGTGCAAGAAATTAACCCTAAGAAGAAACTAAAACCATTTCAGCACTTGAAAGGGGTTATATCACTTTGGTACACATAGCATTAGTTTCACACTCCGTTCGAACATGTGTTTAAGCCTAGGGCCAAAAAAATATGACAAAAATGCTCTATAAATAACCGGTAAAAGAGCTCTCATTTACTCTTGCTTTCTCGCACGCAATATATGACGTCACATGAGCTCGTGCTTAAATAAAGAGCAAGCACAATTCAATTCTCGTCCAAGGTTGTTAAAGCTAGTCTTTGATCGAGGATTTCTCGAAAACCTACAGTACAACCCATGATGAAATTTTCACATTTTATTTGTAGGGGTGAATTGCATTTAGAGCCAAAATTTTAAAAAAATCTGTAAGACAGATTTTGAGCTATTTTTGATCTCACAATTTCTTAGTTTGTGGAAAATCTGTCTTAAAGATTTTTGTTTTACTTTACATGAATGTTAAATCAGAGCCAATTTCTTTTTCCTGAAATTTTGAGGTGGGGTCATAAGAGTAGATTTGGAGAAAAACGTGATTTAGCCTACTAGTGCCCAGTCTTCCCTTAAGTACTCAGTTGTTCATTTTGGCCATTTGTTGAAGTTTAATTGTTCAAGTTTCACACAGAATGGTAAAAGACTTGAGTAAACAGTAAATAGAGAAAGGAAAAACATCTTGGAACATTTTTCAAAAGAGTTAGAGGTTGGGCTGTTATAATCCATCAAAACTGTAGTAAGCCACCTTAACCAATATCACTGAGGTGGCAACTGAATAAGAATGTGGTATTCCGTGACTATTTCACAATTAAATTACTTCTTGTTTATTGGTGAAAAGAAAATTTGCGTTTTGAATGAAGCAAAATTGTTCTTCTTCCATTTCCTCATAAGATATTTATTTCCGTCCATTCATGTCTAAAGTTTTTGAGAAAACAACGGTTTTATGTTACATACCTTTGCAAGGAAAACAAAAGTATCAAGTCACAAATGTTGGCGTGAAAAGTAAAATTGTCAAGTTTGCTTCAACATATTATTGAATTTGAAATGAACGAAAATCAACGTAAAACACCAGAGTAAAATTTGAAAGCTGTCTTGACAAACAGTAATATGTATAAGTTATTGTTTAACATCGAATGAAAGTACAGACATGAATCATACACACTGCTAAGATTGTCTGTCTGATCAAAATTATTCTGTAAGGGGAAAAGCCCTAGGTACCATGAAAGTAAATACAAACTGGGAGTGAACGGCACAGGTGAGGACATGTGTGACTTAGTATCTTGCCAGAACTATACATTGCACTCTGCACTATCTGAAATTGTCTCACTAGTTCAAGCTTGTTTACATCATTAGGTGATATGCTTCTGGTGTGAATATTTGCAACTTATCCAATGGGTTACAAGAGATAGACACCCTAAACTTCTCAACCTTGTTGCTTCCTATAACAAACCTCTATTGTGATATATCAACATGTGAATTTTTTAAAATTTCCTTTGAGAGAACAAAGATTGAAAGTTTTCTATATGTGTGAAAATTTGTTTGTCTGGTTTTGTCCCTCAGGATGAAGAGCAAGATCCTTTACTACACGGGTTTTCCCAACTTAAGGACCAGCTCGTCACTGTTTCTGGTGAGTATACAGGGTATTTTGATTTACTCTGATCCCTGTGGTTTATCTTCTTCCTTCTAACCACAAGTAATATATAGATTTAGCCAAGCCTAAAAGGGGAGCTCCTGGGCCGGGTTGTTCAAATCCCGATCAAGCTAACCCAGGATGAACGAGAATTTTGATTTGAGTCTTGTAACTTTGCAGTAAGGTTTTCTGTTTATGTTGTTTGGCTTTATGTTTTGAGTTTGAATAATCTCAAACAACACACAACAAAAGCAGTGAAAAACATTTTTATACAAGAAAAGTTTATACTTTGGTTAAATTTAAACCAGGGTTAGCATTAACCGGGCTCTGAACAACACCCTGATTACAACAAGTTAACCTGAGTCCTTATTCCTGGCTCGATAGTATCGGAAGATGCGAGATGGAACGGGGAGGCAAAATCATATCTAGTCATAGGTTGTCTCATAGCGGAGGAGTTATGATTCTTTTTAAACCACGGCTTGACGTAAACATTGAGAAAATTGCCTCAGATGTTCATGGGAGATATATTTTAGCAGAGACTGTTATTGATAATGCAAAAGTTGTACTGGTTAATGCTTATGCACCAAATGATCCAAACCAACAGCTTGTATTCCTAAGGGGGCTTTCAAATAATCTCCTCAGCAAATATGGAAATGAAAATCTTGTGTTAGGGGGCGATTTTGATTGTGTAATCAGCACTTTAGACAAAAGAGGTGGTAACCTGTTGACATTAGAAAAGCATCGACTATTGAACTATTAGAACGCAGTGTCCATTCGCGTTGTCCCCTTTCAGGCATACTCTTTGTTATTGCTATGGAGCTTCTTGCCCAAAGTATAAGATGGTCAAAAGACATCAAGGGCATACATGAAGAAGCTAGTCATAAAAGGGGATAAGTGATGATTTTGGTTGCTTTTCTTTTTTTTGCTCCAAATTAGCTGAATTTTTGCATGTGGTCTTCAATGTAATAGAAAAATGTGTCCCTGTATTTTTGCCACTGGTTTTTGCTTCGCTTTATAAAGACGCCGCTAGGAAAACCGAGTGGTTTTTTGCATACGCAATACCCAAAAACGAAGCAAAGTTTAGCAGAAAACCTACGGGACATTACTAAACATACCTAAACAAAACTGCATGCAAAATTTGGAGCGTTTTCGACAAAGTTCACTTTTGATTAAAANAGTGGTCACATTGGATTCATTGTATTATTGTAGCTATGGAAACCAGAGCTCAGTGATGACCCTTAAGCTACTAGGCTCTTTAATGGAACCTAGGCATAGGCACATATCATACTGTAAGTGCAGTGAGACTAGCCACTGGCCTGGACACCCGGGAAAATCATGGCAGAAACTGAAGCTGTCTTTACATAGACATGTACCTGGTGAGAGGGCAAAGTTGTCAATCAAGATATTCCATGCAGAAAAGGACATCACTTGGACCTCTGGTGAAGGGTTGCAGAATCCCTAAACACAATAAAACAATGTAAATTAAGAGATCAAAACTGATTTTGATTTTGAGTCAGACATTCAAATCAGCACTCTAAGTAGTGCCGTTTGATCTGGAAGCTCGATAAGACAAGTTCCATACATCTAGGGTGGATACAGGATTTTAGAGACGGGGGTTCAAAACATGGAATGCTGAAGGCTGTCCCCTGTGGGAGGGTCTGAGGGCATCCTCCCCTGGAAAATTTTTAAAATTGAGGTCCTCGGAACTGGGATTTCCAACATTCTGAGGTCAAGTCACCATGTTCTAATGTCTAATTATATTTAATTGAGGGGGTTTGATCAAATCCTCCTAGATCCACCCCAGATACATGTACATGTACACAAAATCCTGCTGTCAAAGCCCTTAACTTGAACCAAGTCAATAAAACATTTCAGCCGTCTATACAAAAAGCAAGCACTCAAGCCTATTAAATAGGAATAATTTCATGGTATCTTAACTGTTTGTCAACAAAGTTTCTCAGATAGAGCCTCGTGCCTTTTTATAATAACCAAAGTGCAATGTTGGAGGGTACCTGCTCTACAAGCTTTAATAAGTCATTAATCAAACTTCCTCCTCGGTGTAGAGTCTGCAAAAGAGAAACTGATGTCAAATACCAAGCCTGTTACTGATATATTTATCTTAATTTTATTTATTAAATGCACACTACACCGCACACTGCAATGCACGTGCACACTGCTGTTCCTAGGGAACGGTAGTGTGCATAATGTAGGGATGACAAACAAAACAAAGTTGGACAAGTAAACTGGAGTGGACTACAGCAGAGGACAAGGAAATTACATCGTAATACGACCTTGGCGTCAGCACATCAAAAACCAAATATCATTTACCTCTCCTAAAACAGGAACAATGCAACACCAGCATTTGAGCACAAACAACTCCTTCTTTTCAGAAAACAATTTTGGAAACTCCTTCAACAAGCACTGAAAGATTAATATATTCATTAAGTCATGAGAACCTCCTGATTAGAATACTTTTCAAATAAGAAAACTCAAGAATATTGGGAATACTGTTTTGATGCAACACCAGATTTTCAGAGCTATCAATAAAGAGAATATAAGGGATCAGTTAGGAGATTTTAACTGTCCAACTTACTCCTTTCAGAAGTGGAACAAGAAGTTTTACAACTTTTTCTTGAGAAGACATCATGTGTTCCAGTCCAGCAGACATTACAGCTAAGGCCCTCTCTCGCACCTACAAAATGAAAAGTGAATCCTTAAAAATGCATAGTAAACAACTTTCTGACGACCCACAATCTACAGTATATGTCTATTTACTGCAAGAATGAACTGTTTAATAGGTCCTGTTATGACAAATTGTTGATGTAATTACTAAATTACACAGAGTAATAAATTTCACTTCAGCTACATGAATTTCAACCAACATACCTCTCAAGTCCCTCTTCCCCTCCACCCAACAGAACTTCCTCCCTGCCCCATACCACCAAGGTAATCCCAACTTGGTTGCAGCTGATTTTCTTGGATTGGATGGAATACTCAATGTGTACTCAATGTGTACAAAGATTCCCTGACATTTGTTTTTTCTCTTTAAAAAATCTTATAACTACATTTACATTGTACCTTGATGGCTGAGCTAACAAGCAGAGGAAACACCAACTTTGCCCAGCATTCAACTCTCTTGATCATTTCAGATTTGGGAAGTTGCTGTAGTAACCTAAATAAATAATAAGAAAAATAAGCATCCTAGAAACCCTCAACCCTAACCATTAGGCCTGTGCACCTTCCATGTGTACAACGACCATTACACAACAAAATGAAATAGAACTATGATATACAGTGCAGAATTGCTACCTTTCAATCACACTGAGAGCCTCATGGTCAACAGTTACCGACTGTAGATCCTTGGTGAGAACTGATTCCAATGTGATAAGAATGGATTCCAGCTGAGGATAAAATAAAAACTTGTAACAGAGAAGTCACCTGGCAATTTGAGATGACTAACTATTATCAATTGGTTAAACATATTCAAATATTTCACTTTGGTGCATTCAAGAAACAGCACCAGAATGAGGTCAGGCTGGGTATTTTCATAGACGTCAAGTATTTTCTCCACCCTGACCTAGACTGGGCTCCATTGTTTGTTGGAATGCAGGAAAGGTCTATTCCCTCCTATGACAACTGCAACATTCAGTGTTTTGAAACTTCACCAGTTATGCTTGTTTACAAATGGGACTACAAGCTTCATTGTAACTTTTTAAAATTTTTTTCAAAATTTGAATATAATTTTCAATAAAGCTTATCCACAAGCTAAGTTTGGCTTAATACAAGAACACCCACCCTGCAATTCACAAATGAAACATTAACATTACTATATTACCATACCTTGGTGTTTATTATTGCCCTGTCTAAATTCTGCTTAGCAAGACACCATAATGCCCGAGTACAAACTCCTTTATCTTCAGACTCTTGAATTCTTGTCAGAAGACCTACAGGGGATAAAATATTTGACAAGGAATTTAGCCATGATCGAGGTTAAATTAATGAGGTATCCGTCACTGGGGCTACTGGTGACTCATCATTACCAGAACATGACACTGGTTTCTCCGTAACATGAAAGTTCCTGGATGGCATGGTATATGTAGTTCATTGCATTACTCCTTGGCATGTTTTGTCAGTTCACTATTTAATAACTTTTCAGTATCCATAATAATAATAATAATAATAATAATAATAATAATAATAATAATAATAATAATAATAATAATAACTTTATTATTGTCAAAAGGCAGTAGCCAAGGGGAGAAGTCCCCTCTACTAATCGTGGACACCTACCTAGTAACCTAATTAAAATCATTTGTTCAAATCTGAATTACAAAATTATATTTGATTATAATAAAGTTTCCATATAACGCGCACTCTGATTGGCTGAAAGAGTGTGCTTTATCAGAGA